GGTCCGGTCGTGGGGCCTGAACTCTGGGCCTGGGCACTGTCCCTCAGCTCTTCAGCTCAAGGCTAGTGCTCTACCACTTGAGCCACAGCGCCACTTCTGGGTTTTATCTTTTTGCTTATGTGGTGCTGAGGAATCGAACCCAGGGCCTCAGGCATGCAAGGCAAGCACTCTACCACTGAGCCACCTTCCCAGCCCATGCTTATGAATTTTTATACTTATAGATGTTTAAATACTTTTAATAGATGTCTTCCTCATACTCGACCCAAGCGCATCATTGCTTTTCTCTTCAGGGAAAAAAAAAAGCCAAAACACAACCAGCACATTTGTAGTGCATTTAACTTTTGCCTATCTGTGTGGCTATTTCTAAATTTAAAATGGATGCACAACCAACCCATAATCCTGTGGGTTCAGTCCCCCAAAATCCCCCACCACATTCGAAGGGCTGAGGTCAAGGATATGGTGGAAGGAGCTGGCACAGCCGGCTGCCTTGGGGGGCAACACAGGATACACTGGCTGTGTTAGGAGCCATGCTCAGGCCCATCTTCATTCCGGCCATGGAAAGCTTCACTGACCCTGCGCACCACCTCTTCAACGGACCAGGCTTCCCAGAAGGAGCCGCCATGATGGTTTATCGGGGCATTCCCACGGTTATGACATCATCCAGATAGGAGCTTTCCAAGCAGAGCAGGCAGCTGGGGAAAGGGTCCAGATCAGAAGCAAACACCGCAGGATTTTAATAAGAATAATGGAGAACAGAGGAAAGAGCTGTATTAGTCATCTTACTGTAGCTGTGGTTAAAAAAAAAAATACCTGAGAAAACTAACTTATCAAGAGGAGAGGTAAGCTGGGGGCCAGTGGCTCACCCCTGTCATCCTAGCTACTCAGGAGGCTGAGATCTGAGGATCACAGTTCAAAGCCAGCCTGGGCAAAGAAAGTCCATGAGACTCTTATCTCCAATAAACCACTCAGAAACTGGAAGTGGTGCTGTGGCTCAAGTAATAGAGTGCTTGCCTTGGGCTGAAGAGCTGAGGGACAGCGCCCAGGCCCAGAGTTCAAGCCCTACAACCAACAACAAAAAATAAAAAGAGAGAGGTAGCCAGCCACTGGTGGCTCATGCCTGTAATCCCAGCTACTTAGGAGGTTGAGATCTGAGGATTCAATTCAAAGCCAGCCTGGGCCGAAAAATTCCCAATGTATCTCCATGCAAACATTCCAGTCTGTGAAAAGGAGATATGGGCATTTTAAAGAAAGTTGAGAAACTGAAATGTAGTTCATTGCTAGACATGTGCTTAGCAAGCATAAAGCCCTGAGCTCATATAATGAGAAAATGATGATGATGATGATGATGATGATGATGATGATGATGATGACGGTGACAATGATGATGAAAATAATGGGAAAAAATAGGAGTTGATGCCACAGGATAGTTACTGTAACTCAATCTGGACAATGGAAAGAAAATAGACTGAAACAGATTAACATATCCAGAGATTCACGAAACTCTAACAAAAAGAGCTAATAGTCATGGTATAGGAATCTCATAAAGGCAAGAAAAAGAGAGAACAGAGAAAGTATTCAATGGTTTGTCTAAAATGTTCCAAAATTAGGCAAAAGATAAAAACCTATATATCAAGAAGCTAAATGAGCACCAAACATTATATTTTGTGTTTATTGTCTATTTGTGCATTTTTATTGAAATGTCTATTTAAATCTTTTCTCCATTTTTGAATTGCCATACTTGGGTTGTAAAAGTTGTTTCTGTTTCTAAATGGGTGCAAGTAGCTCATGCCTGTAATCTCAACTACTCAGGAGGCTGAGATCTGAGGACTGAAATTTGAAACCAGTCTAGGAAGGAAATTCTGTGAGGCTCTTCTCTCCAGTTAACTAGAAGTGGAGCTGTGGCTCACGTGGTAGAAGCAGAAAGATCATGTATTCAAGGCCAGCCTATGCTACATAGTAAAACCCTCTCCAAAAAAAAAAAGGAAAGAAAGAAAAAGAGAGAGGAAGGAAAGAAGGGAGGGAGGGAGGAAGAGATGGAGAGAGGGAAGGAGGGAAGGAAAGAAATGTGGGTTTCACTCCTTTTTTCTACTATTTTCTTATTTCCTAGTTTATTCACTTCTTTGCTTCCTTCTATTTGCTTTGAATTTACACTATTTCTTTTTTGGTTTGTAAGTGGAAGCTTACAGTATGGTGGCATTATCTGCATCCCAAAAATTCTGGTAGCCTGGCCCTGGTGGCTCACATCTGCCATTCTAGCTATTCAGGAAGTTGAAATCTGAGGGATCGTGGTTCAGTGCCAGCCTGGGCTGACCAAAGGAACACCAAACAGTACATTTTGTATGAGACTTTTATCTCCAATTAACTACCAGAAAACCAGAAGTAGCACAATGGCTCAAAGTAATAGACCACTAGCCTTGCAAAAAGAGCCCAGGCCCTAAGTTCAAGCCCCATGACTGACAAAAAAAAAGTTCTGGCAAGTTGCCAGGTGCTGGTGGCTTATACCTGTAATCCTAGCTACTCCGGAGTCTGAGATCTGAGGATCTCAGTTAGAAGCCAGACCAGGCAGGAAAAGCCCATGAGACTCTTCTCTCCAATTAACCACTAAAAAAGTTGGAAGTAGAGCTGTGGCTCAAGCAGTAGAATGCTAGCCTTGAGTGAAAAAAAGCTCAGGAACAGCATCCAAGCCCTAACTGTAAGCCCCAGAACTGGCAAATATACACATGTGTGCATGTATGCATGCATGCACGCCTACCCATGCACACACACACACAAACACACACATGCATGCACGTGCACACACACATACACATACACACCACAGAGTTCAATCTAATGGCTAATGCCTGTAATCCTAGCTACTCAGGAGGCTGAGATCTGAGGATCACAGTTCAAAGCCAGGCCAGACAGGAAAGTTCATGAGACTCTTATCTCCAATTAACCACCAAAAAAGTTGGAAGTAGAGCTGTGGCTCAAGTGGCTCATGCACTAGCCTTGAGCTGAAAAGCTGAGAGACAGTGCCCAGGCGCAGAGTTCAAGCCCCACGACCGACAAAAAAAAATAAAAAAATAAAGTCATTGAGACCTGTTTAATAGCCTAGCATAGGTCCAGCCTAGAGAATGTTCCATTTGCATTTTGGAAAAATGTTTTACTCTATGTTTGATAAAGTATTTTATAGATGTTTTGTTCATGTGTATGCTGGTAAATAATAATAAAAATAATAGTAATAATTGTAAAGCAAATGTGGTCAGATGATATCCATTGGTCAACAATCAAAGTATCCTGGAATTGTTTTCAGTGGTCTTACCTCTTTCCTGTAAGTTTTAAATCATTTCAAAATAAAAGGGGTTTTGAAAAGAGGGAATAGGCTGGTATTGGTAAAGTCCACTCCTTGGCAGGGAAGGCCCCAGGTGCTCCAGGCTGCACCTGGGGCACCAGATATGGTGATACTGTGTTGTGTTCTTGGTGATACAGGGTATAGCTGACCTCGGAGCTCTCCTGTGTTGACTCAAGAAGGAAGCATGAGGCTGAGAAGGTGGCTCAGTGGTAGAGTGCTCACCTTGCATGTATTAGGCCGTGGGTTCGATTCCTCAGAACCACATAAGCAGAAAAAGCCAGAAGTGGCACTGTGGCTCAAGTGATTGAGTGCTAGCCTTGAGCTGAAGAGTTCAGGGACAGCGCCCAGGCCCAGAGGTCAGGCTTCAGGCCCTACAACCAACAACAAAAAGAAAGAAGGAAGGAAGAAAGAAAGAAGGAAGGAAGGAAAGAAGGAAAGAAGGAAGGAAGGAAGGAGTATTCAAGACAATGAATTCCTTTTGTGATGTTCTTTCCTCCAATGTTATGTCCTTCTTGGCATCCCAGAGTCCTCTTGCAGTGAAGGGAAACAGAGATAGTTGGAATCAAAGCTACCCAAAGTCAATGTTTGCTCCAGATAATCGGCAAAATGTAAAATTTTAGAACTGGAGTAAATTTGGGAATAGAACATAGAATAGAATATAGCCATTTACCATGGATAGTAGCAGTTTTATACATTCCTCTCTAAAGGAGGGCCAAGATTCCCCCTCAAAAAAAAAAAAAAAAAACTAGTCCAGCATCTTATGCATTCCCCGGAGGGAGAAAAAGAAGTCCCGGCCAGGGCTGAGGTAAGGCCTGGAAGTCCCCTGGGTTCCCTCCGCCAAGGTAAGTCATTGCAGATAACAAGTTGAAGATCATCTGAGAAGCATCTGAACTGGCCCGGAGTGAAGCAGCCGTTCCTGGGAAGAGGAAGAGGAAGATCCTGTTCCCATGCCCTGCCTCTTGGGTCACAGGGGCAGCCACCTTGCAATGCCCATCTCTAGAAAGGAGAAATTCTATCCTCCAACAGGATGGCTCGGGACCACCTCCAGACCCCGGGAACCAAGCCAGGTCTCCCCTGTATCACCTGCCCTCCAGCCACACTGCACAACTTCCCCCACTTCCCCAGGGGTAGTCAGGGACAGAAGGCCCCTCCCTCGTCCCCCTCAATGTTCCTCTGCCCTCCCTCCCATCACTAGGGTGTCCAGGACATTGTGTGACTCAGGAAACAGCTCAGACCGAGGCTCAAAGCAGGCCGAGGAGGAGGAAGGGGCGTTGGGAGCAGGGGAGGTAGCAGGGCCTCTATGAGGCTTGTGAGGGTCGCTGTCTGAAAAGGGAGAGGGGATCTGGGCTTGGGGCAGAGGCTCTGGAATGCAGCCCCCTTCCCTGCTGCTGCTGCTGCTCCTGCTGCTGCTGTGTTCCCCAGTTGTCCGGGCCAGAGGTGAGGCATGAGGTGGGAAGGATGGGGGCAAACCATCCCCCTTAGGGGGATGTCTGGTGGGGTTGGGGGCAGGGGAGAAGCTGAGCCTCAGGCTTCGAAAGAATAGTGGATGAAGGAGATCCATTTTCCCAAATGGGCACAGCTTGCAGGGAGAGCTGACTGCCACAGGAGCGACTCAGACCCAAGTTTTGGGCTTGGTGCCAGGGGTGGTGACTGCTCGGAGGGGGGGGAATGGGTAAGAGGGGGTGTCCACCAGGGAAAACCCAACTGGCCCTGGAGCTAAGAGACAGAGAGTTCTCCAAGTCACACAGGGAAGGGAGCAACAGACCAACTAGACCAATTACCTGAGAGAAGGCATGAGAAGAACAGAGATGGAGACATGGAAGGTCTCACTAAGTCCCTTTCCTGTCCAGCTGTTCCCACCCCCCCAGTGGCTCAATACGAGGCCCTTCCTGGAGGAAATCCCTTCTACATCTCAGCCATTCACCTCCCTGGGGCCCCTCCTGATCCCTGCTGTCCTACTTCCGAGGGATGGAGCCAGGCTGCTCTTGGGAGGCCAGAGAATAAACAGGAAAGGGGGCTGGGAATAGTCACTGAGCGAGGCCTCACATCCACAGAGTTGGGGACCACGTGGGGGACTGGGCTCAGGCGGTAAAGAGAGGGTAGTTTGGGGGCCATGTGGACACGGGGGGGGGGTACTGAGGCAGATCTCCCGGGAGCACCTGAAGGAGGCACAGGCCCCCAGGGGCAGCTCCTCCTCCCTCTCCATCACCAGGCCTGCTGTGTGGAAGTTTACCAGAACCTTGCGCCAATGGAGGCACCTGCCTGAGCCAGTCCTGGGGACAAGGGATCTGCCAGTGAGTGAGGCTCCTGGGGAAGGGGAGACTGGCAGGAGAAGGGGAGCAGGGAAGGAAGTGGTGGGGAGTGGAAAAGAGAAAAAAAGGGAGGAAATGAAGATGAAGGAAACAAACGAAGGAGAAAGAGAGAAGGGAGAGAAAAGAGAAGAGAAGCCCAGTTGTATATTTTTCCTTTTCTTTCCCCGCTTCCAGGTGTGCCCTTGGCTTCCTGGGTGAGATGTGCCAGTTTGCTGACCCCTGCCAGGATGCCCAGCTCTGCCAGAATGGGGGCAGCTGCCAAACCCTGCTTCCCACATCCCCTCGCTCCTCTAGACTCCCCTCTCCATTGGCCCCCAGCTTCTTCTGCATCTGTCCCACTGGCTTCACTGGCAAGAGGTGCCAAGTCCAGCTGGAAAACCTCTGCCCTTCCTCCTTCTGTTCTGAAAGGGGCCGCTGCTACATTCAGGCCTCAGGCCGCCCCCAGTGCTCCTGCGAGCTTGGTTGGACAGGTAAGCTCTGGTGGGAATGCCAAGAAGGGACAGGCAAGGCAGTTGACAGGCAAGCCCAGGTGACTGGGCAAGGCAGTGGGAGGGGTGGGGGAATAGAACTGGAGCCTGAGAGAAGATAAAAGCCAGAAGAGTCAAGAAGAAATTTCTTGGTAAGGAAGCCATTCCTGCAAGACTGACATTCATCAGCATGTGACTGCTAAAGTACTGAAGTATTTCCAAACTAGTTGGAATATTTCCATGAGCCTCCTGAGTGTGCCATCCTCCTGCCTCTCTGGGCCCTTCCAACTGTCCTCCAGATAGCCATTGCAATGTGATTATTGCTGGTCTTACTATGCACCTTCTGCACCTTGTGCATGCAGACCATGACTCCCCCGACGCCCTTCTGAGTAGTGTGTGCTAACCATAGCACCTGGAAAGTGGGAGAGGACGGGATAATGCTGGAGTGATCTGACCCTGAGGGAGAAGTTTGGGGTGCATCCCAGAGAAAAGGGATCTAACCTTGCCTTAGAACAGGGACAAATGACAGTCCCACTACTGACTAGCCAATAATCTGGCATGAGATACAGAAGCTGTCTAGGTTCTGGGTCACCAGCCCACTACCCACGTTTTTGTTGTTGTTGTTGTTTTGTCAGTCCTAGGGCTTGAATTCAGGGCCTGGGCACTGTTCCTGAGCTCTTTTGCTCAAGGCTAGCACTTTATCACTTTGAGCCACAGTGCCACGTCTGGTTTTCTGGTGGTTAGTTGATGATAAATCTCATAGCTTTCCCTGCCAGGGCTGGCTTTGAACCTATCCTCGGATTTCAGTCTCCTGAGTAGCTAGGATTGCAGACTTGAATCTGAATAGTGCCGGCTTTGTCCACATTTTTTAAGGTTGTTGAGTGCATAAAAGGGAATGATAGCCAAGAGCTGGTAGCTCATAGCTCATGCCTGTACAGTAATCCTAGCTACTCAGGAGACTGAGAGGATCAAGGTTTGAAGCCAGCCCGGGCAGGAAAGTTAGTGAGACTCTTACCTCTAGTAAACCACCAGAAAACCAGAAGTGGAGCAGTTGTATAAAGTGGTAGAGCACTAGCCTTGAGCAGAACACTCAGGGACAGCATCCAGGCCCTGAGTTCAAGCCCAATGACCTACCCAAAAAAAGCGGGGGAGAGGGGAATGATACCCAGGAAATGCTTACTTAGCTCAGTGTCTGGTCCATGTTATGGGTGCAGCAATTGGTGGTTCCTGCCATGGCCGCCACCACCGCCACTGACACTGCTCCTACTGCCTTTAACCACTGGGGCACACGGCTGCTCCGTGTCCTCCTCATCAGTATCCTGGTCATCTTACACACCTAATAAATAGGGCTGGGGCATGACTCAAATAGAAGAGGAGTTGCCTAGCAAGTATGAAGCCTTGAGTTCAAATCCTAGTCCTGCTTTAAAAAAGAAAGGAAGGAAGGGAAGAAGGGAGGGAGAGTGGAAAGGGAAGGAAGGAAGGAAGGAAGGAAGGAAGGAAGGAAGGAAGGAAGGAAGGAAGGAAGGAAGGAACGAAGGAAGGAAGGAAGGAACGAAGGAAGGAAGGAAGGAAGGAAGGGAAGAAACCATGAAGAATCAGAAAGCAAAGTGACTCACCTAGGAGCATGCAAACCATTGTAGCACAGTGACGTGTCAACCTGAGTCTCCTGCCTGCAGATGCTGGATACTTTTAATCTCGCCTAAGAAGACATGCTCTAGGCCCCTCCCCTCCCCTCTGTCCCAAATTTCCCCAGGTAAGGCCAATTCGTCATACCCCCCCCATTAGGTATCTGTTTCACTTTCCATGCTGAAAATGAGGACAGCCCTCATATAACCCTCCAAAGGTAGGAGTGACAGAACAGGGCAAAGAGAGACAAGCACCTGGTGGCTCATACCTGTAACTCTAGCTATACAGGAAGCTGAAATCTGAGGATCACAGTTTGAAGCCTGAACACACACACACATATACACACACACACACACACACACGGAGACAGATATGAAACAAACACAGAAATCGCCCTCCAGGAGAGCTGAGGAAGCCCAGGTGAGCTGTGTAGTGCCAGCACCATTCCTCTGCCCCATCACAGGTGAACAGTGCCAGCTTCCAGACTTCTGCTCTGCTAACCCCTGCTTAAATGGAGGTGTGTGTCTGGCCACATACCCCCAGATCCAGTGCCGCTGCCCACCTGGTTTTGAGGGCCATCTCTGCCAACATGACATCAACGAGTGCTTCCTGGATCCAGGACCCTGCCCTAGGGGCACCTTCTGCCATAACACCCTGGGCTCCTTCCAGTGTGTCTGCCCTGCGGGGAGGGAGGGCTCCCACTGTGAGCTCCGGAAGGGACCCTGCTCCTCTGGGGACTGTCCACACGGGAGCACCTGCCAGCTGGTGCCAGGGAAAGATGCCACCTTTCACCTCTGCCTCTGTCCCCCAGGTGTGTTTCTCATGGCGGGGGGGCTTTCCCACCTTCCCCCTCTCTGGGCAGGGAGGGTCATCTCCTTTAGCTTTCCCCCTCCCGCTGATCCTGTGACCCTGTCAGGAATCACAGGCCTGGACTGTGAAGTGAATCCCGACAACTGTATCAGGCACCAGTGTCAGAACGGGGCTGCTTGCCAGGATGGGCAAGGCACCTACACCTGCCTCTGCCCAGAGACCTGGACAGGTGAGTTGCTTCAGCCAAGTTCATGGTGCCCAGGGGGCCAGCTCGGAACTCCTGCCTCCCTTCCTCTCCAGGCTCCCAGCTCCAGCCCTTGCCCTCTTCCTTCCTCCCTTACAGGCTGGGATTGCTCCAAAGATGTGGATGAATGTGAGACACAGGGTCCCCCTCGCTGCAGAAATGGGGGTACCTGCCAGAACTCCGCTGGCAGCTTCCACTGCGTGTGCGTGAGTGGCTGGGGAGGCATAGTTTGCGAGGAGAACTTGGATGACTGCATCACGGCCACCTGCGCCCCCGGATCCACCTGCATTGACCGTGTGGGCTCCTTTTCCTGCCTGTGCCCTCCTGGACGCACAGGTGAGGGCAGAGGGGGCTGGGGAGGTGGGAGGCAGAGGTGGAAGGCCAGAGAAGCACTAAGAGCGAAGCTGGAAGCCTTCAAGCAGCATGTGCCAGCCTTACCCCCTCCCCGGCCCCCACAGGCCTTCTGTGCCACCTGGAAGACATGTGTCTGAGCCAGCCGTGCCATGAGAATGCCCAGTGCAGCACCAACCCCCTGACAGGCTCCACGCTCTGCCTGTGCCAGCCTGGCTACTCAGGGCCCACCTGCCACCAGGACCTGGATGAGTGTCAGATGGGTGAGGTTCCCCACAGAAGAGCCTTTCTGAGTCCGGACACATGGCTACACTGAACAGAGTACACAGCAAATTGCTTTCAAGTTGAAAACCAACGGGCTGAGAAGGTGGCTCAGTGGTAGAGTGCTTGCCTTGCATGCATGAGACGCTGGGTTCGATTCCTCAGCACCACATAAGCAAAAAGAAAAAAGCTGGAAATGGCGCTGTGTTTCAAGTGGTAGAGCGTTAACCTTGAGCTGAAGAGCTGAGGGACAGTGCCCAGGCCCAGAGTTCGGACCCCCCCGCCAAAAAAATTGAAAACCAAATAGCTCCTTTATTCTTGAATTTGGTTCCAATTTGGCATCTCTTTCCTGCATGACCTTTTCCCCAGTACTCAGCCCTCCTGACCCCATGGATTTCTCCACCATGAACACACAAGCCCCTCCCCCAATTTGCTGTCCTCTACCACAAAGAGGCCCTCATGCTTTCCCTGGCTCTCTAAGCCCTTTGCCCTCTTCACTCTGGATCCTTGTAGATACCCAGTTTTTCTCTCCTCCCAGCCCAGCAAGGCCCCAGTCCCTGTGAACATGGCGGCTCCTGCCTCAACACCCCCGGCTCCTTCAAATGCCTCTGCCCTCCTGGCTACACGGGCTCCCGTTGTGAAGCTGACCACGATGAGTGCAAGTCCCAGCCCTGCCGCACAGGGAGCACCTGTGTGGATCTACTGGCCACTTTCTACTGCTTCTGCCCACCAGGTACAGCCAGATGAGAACCTGAGTGGAGGGGTCAGAGAACTAATCTTGAATCCAATGGGAATTGTCCCTCTAAAGCAAAGATAGTCTGAAGCTAATTGGGGGTCAGTTATTACAGAATGTTTCTCCTCTCCCTACTCCTCCCCAGGACATCCATGACCCCCCCCCTGGAGGGGGGGCCTACAAGTAGTAGTTGAGTTGGTGCACTGTCCAACTCTAGAGACCTCCAGTCATTTCATGATCATCACAGAGTACACAACCACTACCCCTAGCTGGCCCACAAGGGATGGGAGATGGCAGCTTTCCACATAGCAGCCTCTGCTTATGCCAATCCAGAATGTTCTTCCTTAATCACACAAACTCTCCCCTGTAGGCATAAAGGGTAAACCCTTAAAATTCCAAATGGCTTGTGTGCTTGTTCTGTGTAATAAGAAAGGAATGCTGCAAGGCTGCCTCACCTCCAGGCTAGTTTCATAGACAGGCAATGTCCTCCTAGGGAGAGAACCACAGATTAGTATCAGCTGGATGAAACCAGTTGACTTCATACCAGGAACCCTCTAAGCAGCTCACAGACACTATCTCAGCTACTCTTTACAATAACCCAGAGGTCATTTGATAAATGAAGAAACTGAGGCTCAAAGGGGTTTAGGGGCTTGTCCAAAGTCACACAGCTCATTAAGTGGCAAAATCAAGAACCAAACCCAGGACTTCAACATTTTATTTAACAAGCACCCAAGTATCATGGCTCAGGCCATCCACAGACGAGCCTAGAAAAGTGGAGAAAGCTGTTCAATAATCCAAGGGACAAGGTACCAGGGCAAAATCGAGGCAGCCTCTCCAGGCAGGAAGAGGGAGGCCGTGAGGTCCACAGTTGATGTGACTCAAGTTCAGAGTGAGATGGTGAAGGCTTGGATGAACACAAAGCCAAGGACCAACACACATTACCAAATGCCCTTGAATCCCACCCCCTCCTGGCCCCTCCCTGGTTGGTAGGCATGGAGGCCTGTTTAGGTAGAACTAGACAAGTGAACCACCACCCTCCAGGCAGAAGCCCACTAGTCTCCTCAGGACTGAGCCCAACCATCCACAAGGGCCCCACAAGTCACTTCCTCTCATACCAGCAGGAGATATACCACCAAGAGCAGCAGGGTTTATCAGTCCAACACACAGGTAGACAGCACCCAGGGAGGAGTAGCTTGACAAAGACCTAATAGATCTTTTCCCAGGAAGAAGACGAGGCCACCAAGGCCTTGCTGAGCCCTGCCCTGACCACGCCCCCTTGTCCTCAGGCTTAGAAGGGACCCTCTGCGAGGTGGAGATCAACGAGTGTGCCTCGGATCCATGCCTGAACCACGCTAGCTGTCAGGACCTGCTCAATGGCTTCCTGTGCATCTGCCAGCCTGGTGGGTACAAATTTCAGCTTTCCCTAGCCTGTCCATGGAGTTCCCGATTTCTCCCCACAGTCTCCTCACATCCCCAAATCTTCCCTTGCTTACTCCCTGCCCTTATCTCTGCCCTACCAAATCGCCAGCTACCTCTTTCTGTGTACTCTGTGTGTGAGAGGCCCAGGCCACCATGGACCCAAGGAGAGCTGTCCAGACCTTTCTTCTCCATCTTTGTCAGACATCCCTCAGCTCCCCGCTATGAAAATAATTACATGGATTGAATATTTACCCTAGGACAGGCAGGCCCTTAATTATTACATTATCTAATCCTTGCAGTGTCCTTGCATCACTGAACTGCACTTCCACCCAGTGGCCTCTATTATTCCCTACTACTGAGGAGAACACTGGAGCAAAGGGTGTTGGCTAGCCCACAGCCACACGGCTGGCAGGAGCAGGGCTTCGTGCTTTCTGAATGACCATGGTGTTGCTCCACACCCAACTGCCTAGGGTCTTCTCCAGGACGGCCTGCAGGCTCACCTTCCCTGACAAAAGAGGGAACTATGTTGTTCTTCCCAGATGACCTTGACCTCCCCTCCACGTTACCCCCCCATTCCCTTCCCCACCAGGGTTCACGGGCACCCAGTGTGAGGAGGACATGGACGAGTGCACAAGCTCTCCCTGTGCCAATGGGGGTCACTGCCAAGACCAGCCTGGGGCCTTCCACTGCCAGTGTCTCCCAGGTAAACTGGGGTCCAAGCAGTCGGAGGGAAAAGAGAATGACACATGTCTGTGCAGTTCCTGACCCTCCCCCTGTGCTATATAGGCTTTGAAGGGCCACAGTGTGAGACTGAAGTGGATGAGTGTCTAAGTGGCCCCTGCCCCACCGGAGCCAGCTGCCTTGATCTCCCAGGAGCTTTCCTTTGCCTCTGCCCCTCTGGCTTCACAGGTCAGCAGGGAAGGTGTTAGGTAGAACTGGAAGAATATTTGAGTCTATTTGGGGTGGAACAGAGGTCATAGTGGATGCTTAATGGTTGGGATATGAGAGAATGAGAATGGCACCCTTTAAAATTATTCAGTGCAGGGGCTGGGAAGGTGGCTCAGTGGTAGAGCGCTTGCCTTGCATGCATGAGGCCCTGGGTGCAATTCCTCAGCACCACATAAGCAAAAAAGAAAAAAACGGAAGTGGCGCTGTGGCTCAAGTGGTAGAGTGCTAGCCTTGAGCTGAAGAGCTGAGGGACAGCGCCCAGGCCCAGAGTTCAGGCCCCACGACCAGACCCCCCCAAAAAAAATTTATTCAGTGCAGCCACACTACTCAGGAGGCTGAGATCTGAGGATTGCAGTTGGAAAGCAGCCTGCACAGGAAAGCCTGTGAGACTCTTATCTCCAATTAACCACCAGAAACCAGAAGTGGTAGAGCACTAGCCTTGAGCAAAAGGGCTCAGGGACAGTGGCCAGGCCCTGAGTTCAAGCCCCAGGACTGGCACACACACATGTATTGGCCCCATGAAGACATGAAGGGCTCTGTTTTCTCTCTAATGTCTCCTCACACACCCTCAGGCCAGTCCTGTGACACTCCCTTGTGTGAACTCAACCTATGTCAAGCCAAGCAACAATGCCAGGATCCAGGAGATAAACCCCACTGTCTCTGCCCCGATGGAAGCCCTGGCTGTGTGCCTGCTCAGGACAATTGCACCTGCCATCATGGACATTGCCAGAGGTAATACCGTCCAAGCCCTCCTCATTTGTCCCCTTCTCTGGGTCCTTAGCTAGGCCAGTAGACAGCAGGTGAGGGATCAGGTCACTGGGTAAAAGCCAATGGGGAACTGGAAAGAAATGACAAAGTCCTTAGGGCAGAACAAAGCCCTTAGGAGGGCTTAGCCAATAAGTGTTTCCCAATGAGAGGAGAGTTCAAATAGAGCAAGAAGCA